TGAGGAAATAGGTGCTCCGAGAGGTTGAGAGTCTGGCCCAAGTTTGCACCGATAGTAAGTTACAGAGCTAGTATTGCTATAGAACTTCTGACTGAAACCAAAGCATATTAACTATTAGACTTCATTAAAGCTGAAACCCTCTACGTTCATGACATTAAAAACTAGCCAAATCTCATGTCAGGTCAAAGATCTGATCTAGGACTGTAAAAACTACTAAGTGAACAGAAGCTTCAGAAAAAGCTTTTTTGAAATGCCATTTCTTCAAAGAACTCTTTTTCTTGTTTTCTAGAGCAATCTAAAAAGTAATTGCTAATATCCCAACAGTTATTAAGAGATATTGCCCACTGCATCAATACCATAACATTATCTCTGAGTAAGGCTTTTAAGCACCACAAACATAGATGAGTATAAGCCACTATATTCTATCAACAGTTCTCACACAATTCCAGATTACCTGTGTGGCATAAATCTCTCTCTTTAATGTACCTAAATATCCTCCCCTCCCAAGATGTGCATAGTAATTGCCCCAAAAGATAGCTTACATTATATTTATTAAGCAATATGCCTTTAAAGGGATGAATATTGCCTTAATGGTTTGGTTTGTTGGAATTATATTTTTGGATTGTGATATGGGAACTTGACTGGTGGAAATTTTGGTCTTTGTCCGTGATGCCTGGAATAGGAGAGATATTTGATAGAAATTTCAGGAAACCACACCCTTGACTGCTCACTGGAAAACAAATAAACATCATCTGATATTTCACGTTAACCCAAGTTAGAAACTTAGACGTTTGTTCTATAAAGCAAAACCCTATTTTCTCTATTCTTCTTCCCAAGTAAAAGCTATAGAACTGTAAAGCAGAAAAAGTAATACCTTTTCCTCACCCACCATCAGGTTCATAGCTAAATCCCTATAAAAAGTATAGATTAACAAGAGAAAACCACAACAAATTTGAGTTTTACATGCCACAAGAGGCTCCGGGAAAGAAGACCCAAGTAATAAGAAAACTGTATTTTTTATGAACAGTCAGACACAAATGTGATTGGAGGATAGAGGGATGTGATCCACAGGCAATGAACTAGAGGAATTTAGTAAAGCCTGTTTCTTCAGAGTTATCTTAGCCTTTAAGCATGAGGCACAAGCTTTCTGGAGGGAGAGTCCTCTGACCTGCTTTTAGGGTGAGCAGGTCAGATATCATTTTTCTGGCCTACTTCAGGGAGGAATTTGGGACGAGACCAGAGAGTGAGCATCCTGCTTCCACAGTTTTCTTAATTTCCTCCACCTCAAAATACAAGGAGGCCCAGTGCTATACCTGAGGGTAGAAAATTCTGTGCCCCATCAGAAACAATCACAAAATTAGGTCCTCAGGAAACTTACATTCTAGGGGACTAAAGAAACAAAAGAAACAAAGGAACATAAGCCAACACAAAAACAAATGAAAAATGCAGAAGGCCTTGACAGAAATTAAACGAAGGCAAGAGGAAGGGACTAGAAGGCTTAGGAGGGCTGGATCAGGTGGAGGGGAATGAAGGTTGCTACGCAGAGCTATGTGGCAGAGCTGAAAGAGTTTTTCTCAAGCCTGCACTGTTCCTGCAACAATCGTCGCCTGGTGGATGGCAGTGTTCTACCACCGGCAAACCCCAAAAGGAGAGCTAATAATCATTTGTGGGATAAGAAGTCACTCTTTTACCTCAATATTTCCCTTTTCCTGCTGCTAGTGCCTTACTGAGTAAGCCAGGCCACCCTTGTCCCTGCAAAACAGACTCGAAAGCCTCTGGAACAAAAAGCCTGAAGTGACGTCGTGTTCAAGGGGCGAACTCAGCAGTGCACCTTCATTACCAGTAACAGCAGCGGCTTTGCGGGAAAGAGCACTGCTAGGCTTATTGCTATTACTACCTAGAATGAGACAAACCAAACCCAGGCACCAAACAAACACGGCCAATCACACCCAGAGGTGAAGATGAGGAAAACAGTCCTGTGCTATGCATGGCAGGCTGTCAGACCCTGCTTCAAAATGTGCAACTGTGTGAATTTCATAATATAAGCGCTTAGCCTTGAACTGTGGTTTTCAGAATGGGACAGCTGGACAGTAAAGATGCTGCTGTACTCCCGGGAGGGGCTACTGATGACAACACTGGCTGGTAGGAGTCATGCTTACCTCACCAGCAAGACATACTGAGGCGGTAAGTACCTGCATGCTGAAAAGATGGACAGAGTAAAGCAATTTTCATTCTTAAGCAAAGAATCTTCTTAGTGAAGAAGACTCCCAAGTCCCAACCGCAACATTCAAAATTAGCGGACTTAAAATCTGAGATCTGGGTGCAGTGGCGCAGGACGATAGTCTCAGGACTCTGGAAGGCTGAAGCAGGAGGATCTCATATTCAAACCCAGTCTGGGCAATTTAGTGACTCAGCAAGACAGTGTCTCAAAATAAAATGAACAACAGTGGAGATGCAGCTAGCAACCGAGCTCTAGGTCTCCTCTCCAGAAGCCACCAAGTCCTGAGAGTTAATGCTTTGCTGTTAAATAATACCAAAGTTAACTTAAAGAATCATAGTTTCAAAAACAGATTAGACACTTCTGTATATAGGAACGTGTCTTAAAAAGTCAGTTTTCAAAACTTGGTTGTCTGTGTGTGTGTGTGTGTGTGTGTGTGTGTGTGTGTGATGGTTATCTTTTTGTCACTATACACCAGAAAGGATTTAACATGGCCCCACTAATGCATACTGGGTATTCTGTAATCAGGTCAGAAACAATTAAAAATTAAAAGATGTCCAAAACATAAGATCTGCTGCTTTTAAAGAAAATAAACAGCCAAATGAAAGATAGATACTAGGAAGTAGAGAGGTAGACTATTCTCAGAGGAGAAGGTAATCAAGAGATGGAGGGATGGGGAGGGAGGGGAAGGGGAGGGGTAAGGGATGAACTAGAAAGGAATCTGGAAGTGATATGCACAGGCACCAACTTTCCACGAGGAATGTGAACATTATGTGCTGCACATGTGTAACGATAAACTAAACTTTTGAAAATAAAGTGAAAGAATCAGTGTAAATTGAACAATACTAGTGCTAACAGAAACTGCATTCAGTCCACAAGTAAGCACTGCATGCTAACAGTAAAACTGTCGCCATCATCACCAAAGCCAATCTGATCATTAAAATCTTTGGCCAGATAATCAGAGCCCAAGATTCTATAGCCACAGTTTATGGCTCTGAGTTGAGTCATAAACTCAACTCACAGTTTATGACAAACCAATGCTTATTTGTCTCTTTACATGTGTCTTAAAATATTACTTCAATGCAGCATAATTTAAATACTACAAATTCTCACTTTTCAAGTATAATGCAATGAGTTTTAGTATATTCACAGTGTTGTACAACTATCACTGCTATCTACTTCCACACAATTTTCAGCACCCTAAGATAAAACCCATTCTTATTAGCAGTCACTTCCCAAGCTCTCCTTCCCCTAGTAATCTACTTTCTGCCTCTATTCAAGCCTGCTTGCGTAGTAAATATTTTAAATGTCCCCCTGTAGAATTCTGAGATCATATAATGTAGATTTCAGCTATGTTTCTTATGTGCATGTTATCCATCCATGTATTCAACTTAACAAGGTTTGAGCAGTCTCCCACGTTACTAGCTCTGCCACTACACTGTCACTTTCAATGGCGGAAGGAATTCTGTCAAATAGATACAGCAATAAAGCATCTAATTAATCTAATGGGGTTGGAATTTGCGTTTGAGCACTGAGGTTTTAAAACTCTGGTAACTAGGCTTAAGCATTTAGGTTTATATTTCAAGAATCTATCTCCTAAAAAGGCCAGAGGTATTATATTCTTTCATAGTGTGTATATATTTGAAAGAATCACAAAGGCCGATAGACAGGAAAGCTGAGAAACTCCTCTGTCCACCTCACCACTGTATGTGTCTCAGCAGCCAGACAACTAGTCCTTTTCTATCACATGAAAGGTGGTGGTCCATTTGGTGGCAGTTCCTCTGAGACATCCACTCCTCAAAAATGCTTTGCAGACATTCTACCTTGAGTCTCATACGAGCTGTGTTAAACACTGAAGCCACATACAGACTAAGAAAAAGGAATCATGTGCATTTGGCGTAGTCTGGTCCCAAGCATTATCCGATCTACTTAGAGCCAGTCTTAAGACCGTAAAATGTTATTTCACAAGGCATAACATGAGCACCACAGTCCAACTAGCTTTTGCTTTCTAGCACCAAAAAATTGCCTTTTCTATGGTTTATACATAGGACGTAAATACATACGAATTTGCATTTGTATGGAAGGGGCTGAAACTCAGCTTCAGAATCAGCCAGGATTTCAATCTTATTTTTACTACGGAGTCAGAGACTGTTCTAACAAAGCCTCCTTTCCTCTCTAGCACACTTAAAAGCCCATTTTCTTTAGCTCTTGATTCCATTAGGTTTGAACTTTGGAATTAAATACCTAGGGAGGAAAAGAGTAACTGTGAGGGTGGAGACAAGAGCAGTGACAGCACAGGGCCAGGAGGGCAGGGAGACACACGCCTAGGGCCACCACAGCCACCGGAAATTCTGTTCCTGCACTTGGGGGAACGAAGAAGCAAAGTATACCGTGAGAAGCATTGAAGGTGTGTCAAAAACACCCCAGGCTTAACAAGGAACCCACAGAGGCCCACCCAGAGCCGTGTGCTGTGCCCTAGACAGCATCTCCAGGATCTCCTTCAACTTCACTTTGTATCTTAGCAGTTTTGATTTAGTTTCCAACTTGGCGTTTGCACAGTAATAATTTTACTACAGAAAGCAAATGTCTTGTAAACTAATGGGAAACATATTGTTCGGCAGGGTTGGTAATGCCAGGATTTACGGCTCTAACACCGAGGGTCTCTTTGACCTCGAAGACAACATAATGAAAGAGCAATGTGCCGCAAATGACGCGCTATGATTTTTTATTAGTTCTCATAATTGCCCCCTTATTAATTTGTATGCACATAATAAGCACTCACCTTCACAGTCTGTCCAGCTTCGGGGCCATCCTAGGAGGGGAAAAAAAAAAAAAAAAAAAACAGAGGTGAGACCAGATAGATGGTATCTCCTGCTTATTCAGAAATATTCCCTGTTAATAATTTAGATCCAATTTCATTGTGTGTTAATTTATAGTATTCTCTTGGGGACCGTTCACTTCCAATGTGTGGGACCAGACAGTTCTCCATTTCTGCCTGAGAGTGAGAAGTTATGTATAAAAATGATCTAAATTATCCAGCAAGCCAACCCCCTTGCTACTTTTCATGCTCTTTGCTCTTGGCCATGGTTTTAATTGCATTAAAAGGCAGGCTGAAAATGTTTGGGGAGGTGAAGTATTACATCTTTTGGTTATCTTTAAATCAGCCATGGTGGTTTAATTAATGTCTGATTGCTTTAAGTCTCTACTCAGGAAATCTGCTGTAACCATCATCCATTAAGCGAGAATATGGAGTATTACATGTGGGAAGAGTCGGCTCGAGTTATTCTGACCTTGGTAAGGGAGCAGGAATGTTTGTTGTGGCTGGACCTTTTTCTAAGCCTGCTTGCCTCTCCCAGCCTCTGAAGTCCAACAGAGATTCTGTCTTAGTTGAAAATGATTGGACTTTCCTGGTCACCAGCCACAAGACAAAGCAAAAGCAGATGCTTTGTGTGTTTGGGAAAGTAGAACAAGGAACATCTCTACATCCAAATCTTCCCAAATGGAATTACCACTCTATGACTTTGGCCAAATCTGTCTCCCTCCATGAGCCTGACCAATAGGATGAGAACTCCCCTCCTGTTGTTGCAAGGCTTAAGCAGAACTGTGTATGTCAGTGCTCTTCAAACTAGAAGGTCTAGCACGTCAGTGGGTCATGAAGTCAACTTTATAGGTTGCAACTGATATTAAAAAATGAAGATATAACATCACAAGAAACTTAATAGGTTGCAAGTGATACTAAGATATAAATATATTCTCACAAGACAAAAACTTAGAATGCAAGGAATGGGTAAACACTGTTTCATAAAAGTCTGCTTTTCTTATCTGTGTAAAGGTATAGAGGGAAGGAATAAACATGACTGTCATATATATATATCTTACTGTGGGTTATAGTAAAAAAAAAGTTCATTAACACTATACTGTATATATGAAAGGATGCTAAGTGTTATATACAAGTCAGTTCTTTCAATTATGGAATGAACTTTCTAGGGAATCAAGTTAGATAAGTAGCACTGGTATTTCCATTACCCATGGATTTTCTTCTTTCTTCTTTGATTTTCATCAAACTCAGACTGAGGTTCTCACCTATTTGCCTTCAGGCATTCCATCTAGAAAGACAGCCTGCATGGCTTAACCAACCCATCTTGAACTAAAGTACCTGCGTGCAAGTAACTCAAATGGTTTGGCATACAACACATAAAAGGGTTATTTTTGTTTGTTTGTTTTAACCAGATAGGCTGTTTTCGTCAGAGCCTGTAGTGGCCTGGAGACAATGGCTTTCTTTTGTAGTCTCTTTAAAGGCCTAGGCAGAGAGCTGAGAGGAGACAAAGGATAGCAAATACTAGTTTAACAAAGGGATTGAGGACAGAGTCCTCGCACCTAGGAACAATCAATTTCCTTCCAGAGGGCGAGCACAAAGTCATTATATTTTAGAGCCAAATGTTTTATATGTGCACTGATACCCCCAGCACTTTCCCTAGGGGACCTGAAGGGGCTCAGGGTACCTTATTCCTGATTTACTCAACTCCCAGCAGACCTGCGGACGGTAACCCAAAAAGTATTAGCCCAACCTCTAACAAAGATTTCCAGGGATTGGGATTCTCGTTTCATTACAGGGGAGTGGGCCATACCCAGTCATCTAATCCAGTTTTGTACCAATCCATGATCACTCACTGCAGCTTGCTTTAAAGACAGGGAAAAAGTAGTCACCATGAAGGCAAGGCTCAAGACAACTTGCATATGTTGCTCCCCTGGAGGATACTAAAGCAGGACTCAGTCTGGGCAGTCCCCAAACATGTGTACCACAGAAGGAAAATGGTTTGTCCAGCCCCAGTTCCAGTAACAGGCCTGGAATGTCTTAGAGCCCATTAAATGCCGTGTCCAGCATTCCGCCTTGCTTTCTAAACAGTGCTGGAGACAGATCCCATGTGGCTGTTGACAGCTGAGCTCCCCTAGATTAGTCACATCTTTTCTACTAATATGTAAATGCAGAAACCGCTGCTGCCTTCCTGGTGAGATGCGGGTCATACTGAACCCACAGCCAAGATTTGAAAAGGAAGAGAAGTCGTCCGGCCCGCTGTGCACTCACCTGCATGGAAAAGGTGAGAGAGGTCCCCTGGAAGTGTCTCTCCACCACTGTGCCCACTCTCTGAGTCACCTGAAACAAATCGGCCACTTCTTCAGGGCGCAGGTCCCGGAAGCGCTCCACCGGCCGCAGCGGACACACGAGGACGTCTGCAGGAGGACTGTTAAGGAACGCTCTGCTTGCTTTGGGTGCCGGACGATACCCACAACACTGAGTCCCTCCGACCCAAAGCCTGAACTCTCGAAGACTGAGGAATGAGGAAACTAATATTTAACACCAATGAACTGCAAGGAAAGCTAAACAACATGTGCAGTTATACTCTGAAAGAGAAGCCCTGCGTGAGCGGAACAGTTTCTTTGCGGAAAAGGAACATCAGTGGACAGAATGACACCAGTGCTTGCTGAAATAATTATAGCAGGAGCCAAGATCTACCTGACCACTATCACCTGACCCTTATTCTAATGGCCCTCCCCAGGAGCCAAAGGCATTAAGCTGGTGAAGCAGGTGGAATATCCAGGTTTCTCTAGGTTGAATATCATGATTAAAATTTTAATTTACTTTTTAGGGAGATAATAGAAATATGTAGTGGCTATAGGACACCAGTTGATTTTGTTTTTAAAAGGAATACAGACATTCTGAAAATGTATACTGAGATTCATCTATAACTAACAGATTTGCCCCATGCGTAAGCAATTTATGACAAGGATTCCTCAAACTGATTATTCAGAATCCAAGAAAACATTTGAAGGTAAATCTCACAGCAAAGATTTGTCTGCTAGAACAAAGGAAAATGTCTTAAGGCATTTTACAAGCTGGATAAGCAACATATTTATACTATCAGTCTAAGCAAACAACCATATCTGGAGAAAAATGATGTAAGTTTGATCACTTATTTATAGCAAATTAGTATATTCATTGTTATACCATCAATATCATTTCATTTCCTTTTTATATTTGAACTCATAGCGTAGGTATATATACATGTCTATGTCTCTGTGTGTATATAAACAGATACTCCTCAACTTATGATGGGTTGTATCCCAATAAGGTAGAAATGTAAGCTGAAAATATCCTAAGTCATGAATGCATTTCACAAACCTAGCCCATAAAACATCATGGCTTAGCTTAGTCTACCTTCAATACACCAAGAACACATATATTAGTAAAGAGCCAGACAAAATGACTCAGTACAAAACATATTTTAAAATACAGTGTTGAATATCTATTGCAACTCTCTGAACATCTATTGAATCTGAAAAAGAATGATTATATGAGTGCACATTCACATCTTATAAGGCTGAAAAATCATGATGTCAAACCAGAGATTGTCTCTGCTTACATATACTACACATATATTAAAGTTTCTTTAGTTTTCAAATACTAGCAGGAGAAAAAGCACTGATAATTTTTTTCTATGTCTTTATCCCATTTTTTCTTCTTCTTTTAAGAAAGCTCGCTCTGCCTGGAGCTGAGCAGCAAAGGGGCCTAATAATACCACAATCCTGAGATCGCTGGTCTCACCGAATATCAAGCACTTCAACCCATCGCAGTGTTGGTGGAACTCACCGCCCAGGGGAGATGCACTGAGCTCAGCTGGGCAAGCCTGATTTCCATAAGAGAGGGGGAAAGAAAGACAGGGAAACTGATTAATGTTGCTCATAATCAAGAAATTCACAGCAACAGTAAGCTAGGAAAAGGGACATTTGTTTAATCTGAGTTCATTTTTCAAGAGAGGAGAAGGGAGGCCTTCACCCACAGGGCATCTGATACTTAAAAAGATAATTATCCTCTGGCAGGGCTGCTTTATTATCATGGGTCAATGAACCGTTTAGAAATGAAGAATTTCCTTTCCTTTCCTTTTAGAAGATTGCAGGCCTTACTCCTTCTGATTCGCTTTCCTGTGTTAAAAGGGACCTTTCCCACCCTTCTTTTCCCTGCTTTAGTTTATCCCATCTCCTAGGCCCTAACTTCACCACAGCAGGTTGGGAACCGTGCTAGCTTCCAACAATATCTCTAACTGCTGTACTAGGCAGCTAGGTGGAGTAGGAAGGGCATTTTACTTAAAATTGTCTTGCCGTGACACTGGGTGGATCTGCCTACCACTGAATCTAACATAAATTTGTACTATGAGTGGCATCCAAAAGTTCTGTGCTTTGATGTAAGAAAAAAACTTAACGTTTATCAGTTTTGCTTGTCTGATGCTAAGGACTGACTTGACCCAATGTTTAATAACTCAAAATATTTAGAGAATTAAACCAAAGTGGCAGAATCTGCCTGATGCTTTGGCCCTGGTACACCCAATCCAGAGTCATGCAGAACATACCTTTATTACTTTTGCTGGCCACCAAGAATGGTGCTACAAGATGCAAAGAGTGAAGCAGGCTCAGTACACTCATATGTAGATGAATACTTTTCACCAGCCCCCTTGTGCAACCTTGCCCTGACATGCACATTCTCCACAGCCCAACCCTTTCAGTCAGCTTATCTGCATGCAACACGTATTTACACGCAAATGATGACAAGATGGGATAAAAAGAACTTTCAGAGGCGCTAGCTGGCATTTGTTCATATAGGTGATCATCGTCTTTGTCTGCATAGTGCCCAGAGGAGGACACAACAGACAGCCCAGCCCAAAGTGATCCCACAGACATGCTTTGCAGGACCACACAGGGACTTCTGCAGAGTCAGGGCTCCCGGGTGCTGTGCTAATGCCTGAGCTGGCCAGCCGCAGACACACGACCCGGCACCCTCCTTGGGCTAGTTGAGAAACTCATTCTCCAAAACCAGGGTCAACCATCTTCCTCAGATTCTTTAAAAGGAGAACAAACAAGAGCTTATGCCTCTACCTCACCGCAGGGTCCTCGTGACTGCTGCCCAGCTCCCTTCTGATTGTCCCTGTTCCCAGATCTTCACACACTGTGTCCCTGTAGCATGTGCCTTCCTTCTGTTACCAAAAAGCATTTAGCTCCTTCTCAGTCCCTCTTAGCCTGTATTCTGGCTGTTTTCTCTGCCTGTAATTCATTTCCCTGGGATCTCCAAGTGGCTGCTTCCTCCTTGTCATTCAGATTCCAATTCCAGTTCTTCCGAGAGTGTGCTAAAACCACCACTTAGAATTATATCCTGTTACTCTCTCTCTTACAACACTGGATTTTAATCCTTCCCATAGCCTTGGACATCAGCTTCTGGCTTGCTTGGTAGGTAATGACATATCCAAATGCATAGGCTCCATAAGAGTGAGCTTTCTTGATTACTATTTGTGACCGAGAATCTTGACTGTCAACTTGATTGGCTTGAAAGCGATCTGAGGAGTCAACAAACAAGAATCTAGAAGAAACTAAAAATCTTTGAGAACCTATTCATCTTCCTTGGGGTTGAAGACTGTAATATTTTCTTTAAACAGTATTCTGGCCCCAAACCATTGCATTATCTTTTAAATGCTCACTATGTGAGAAAAACATCAGAGCCAGGTAGCTCATTTTAATGATTCTAGGTGACTTAATTGTAATACCAGAAAACATGTCGTGGTGTTGACATCGCATAAATCCATCACAATTATTTCTGTTCAACACAACTACAGAGTTTCTGCCATTTCTTTTTTTAAAAGAGCGTATAATCTATAAACACGTAAGAGCTCCCAGAGAGTATGCTACATATCAATTCATCTAAGAAAGAATGTTCTCAGAATAAGTGCATAAGCTTTGGAAGAATACACAGTATTGACTGAAGATGCTAAGTACCATTGCTACATGTTACTTCCAGAAAAACAGTTTGAGAAAAGCAAATTAATTTTGAAGAACAACAGATAACTCTTGTAATTCTACTACTGCTGTTTATGTGCCTTCTTTCAAGAGAATATCACAAATGCAGAATAACTTCACGTGGAGGCTCTTAGGCCTTGTTACTTGCTAAAGTCTACATTATATATAGGCTATAAAAACATTCTTTTGGGTTTGAAGAACTCAGTTTACTCAGTGGAAATTCTTGCAGTTCTGTCCCATATTCGTTATATGTGAAGTCTATGAAAGGGGCTACCAAGATCTGTCCTTTCCCTATAACCTAGAGTAGAGAGATCCACTTGGTAACAACATTTTTAAGGGAAGAGAAAGGCAGCAGTTAAAATTCATGTCTTAACAGTTGACAAAGGCTCCTTACAGTACAGGAAACTCAAAAAAGATTTCTTAGAGAAGATGACATCTAAATTGGATTTACAAGTGGGAGAGTAATTCAATCAGTAGGTTGGGTGACAAGGTACTCATCCACCTATCCCATAGGTAGACCTTCCTTTCAATTCATGGTTTGTGTTGTGACTGTGGATGCCAAGATGGATAAGGACCGAGCTGGGGACCCCGAAGAGTTCACACTGTACTGTCCCACCTGTTCTGTAGACAGATCATTACAACACAGACATGAGCGCTATTGATAGAAATCAGCACAGAATGCTGTGGGAACAGAGAGGAGGCCAGCTCCACCTCTGCCTTAGGGTGTTAGATTAACTTTTCAGTCTGGTCTCACATTTCAGTTTTCCAAGATTAGAGCCCTTTCTCCAAATTTGGACCAAAGTCTGTTAAAAATGATCTAGCAACTTAATGGTAACTTAAAAAAAAATGATCAGGCCATCTTCCCATGTCAAAATCAATGTTTCGTTGACATATGTAGTCTTATTTATTTAATGATAATGCCATAATGACTTTTTTTTCAATAGCTTTCATGTCTCAGTCTCTGCCTTGTTGCTTATTAAAAGAATGCCCTATATTCACAGGCTCTCTCTTCACAGAAAAGAACCAAAGGATACGTGAAATATGAAGATGATGTGTAAAACTGTTAATGGCCTAAGAAGCACTTAGTTTGGATGAAGAAAACAGGTGAGTTATACAATCCCACAGTGCAGAGGCCTCGGTGCTTTGTAGTAAGCATACACTCACTAACAGAACTGCCAGAACAAGGCAATTCCTACTCAGGGGTCAAGCCAGAAGAAGAAGTGAGGAGGGACACAGCCCATATTTTGGACCTTTTCTGATCTGAGTTCATTTGAGTTTCTTCAAGGTGACTTTGGCGTTCCTCAGTCTCCAGACTCCTGAGGAAGACTGCATATTGCAGGCCATATCCACAGGCCAGGTCATCAGACACACTGAATCCCTCTGCTTGTTTGTCAGCATGACTATTAAGAATCATCAATTTTCTTACAACATCGTTTATGTCATGACAGATGATGGGTAAACTGATAACACTCCTCTTCTCCTTGACCAC